CATTAGCTTTGGGTGACTAGGGTTCATCTCCTCAATGAACAGAGCAATCCTACACTCCGCGTGGCAAAGCTGGCACCTCTATAAGGTATCGTCAGCAGGAACAAGAGAGCAACACAGTACAAAAGCGAACTGGCTAGCCTCAGTGACTCGATCCTCTCCTTGCAAGGATTAAAGCCAGTGGATTCCTTCCTATGTCGGCTAAAACTGGGCTACTGTTGCTTTCCTGATTTTTCGGAAGTTCAAATAAATGATTTACTTTAAATGTAATGATATGGGTTTTTAGCACAAGTAACTTTATTTTGGTTTCATGTGTGGGAGTTTTGTGCAAGAACTCAGATAAAGTCAATGGCTTCCTAAAAATTTAACTTAATAGCTGTAAAGTTAAAGAGGCATAACTCTGCTCTGCTGTCCTTAGCAGCCTGAAAGTTCCCCTAACCTTCTAGGGACATTTGACAAGGGGAAAAATTTCAGGCCTAGCCGATAAGAAGCAGAGTTGGAGAGTTTATTATAGATACTTTAATATAGACTTTAAAACTTAGCAGATTAGGGGCTAAAGAGATAGCTCAGAAGTTAAGAGCACTAGCTACTCTTGCAGAAGAACCAGGTTCAGTTTCCAACACCCACATGGCAGATAATAACCATCCATAACTCTAATTCTAAGCTATCCAAAGCCCTCTTCTGGCCTCTATAGGCACTGCACATACATGGTGCACTTACATACATGCAAGCAAAACACATTCATCAATTAAAAATAAATAAATAATAAATACAAATAAATAAAAATTAGCAGATTAGTGCATCTCTCAACTCTCATCAGAGAGGTTTCTTCTTGCTTCAGATGATGATTAACATACAGACTCACAACTGGTCAACATGGAGAGAATAAGAGACTGGGCCCTAAGAATAAAAGTGCTGGGCCCTAAACGGGACTTTAAAAAAAGATTTTATTTATTATTTTTATTTTATGTGTATGTGTGTATTGCCTGCATGTAGGTAAGTGCACCTGTGTCGTGCAATGCCCGTGGAGGACAGAAGAGGCTGTCAGATCCCCTGAGACTGGAGTTATGGATAGTTGTTAGCTGCCACGTGGGTGCTGGGATTTGAACCCGGGTCTTCTGCAAGAACAACCAGTGTTCTTAACTGCTCCAGCCCCCGAAAGTATCTCTTTCTTTCTTTCTTTCTTTCTTTCTTTCTTTCTTTCTTTCTTTCTTTCTTTCTTTCTTTCTCTTCTTTCTTTCTTTCTTTTTCTTTGTCTTTCTTTCTTTCTTTCTTTTTTTGAGACAGGGTCTCCCTATAGCCCCAGCTGGCCTGGAACTCATTTTGTAGAACAGGCTGGCCTTGAACTCACAGAAATCCTCCTGCCTCTGCCTCCCAAGTGCTGGGACTTAAGGCGTGTGCCACCACGCCCAGCTGGGATACCTTTATAACTCCTTTCCTCCCAGGTTTCAGGGATCATTGTGGAAGAGGGGGCAGAATGACTGTAAGAGCCAGAAATGGTAGATAGATAGAAGGAAACCATGTTGTTTGGACACCACAGTGAACATGTGAACTCACAGTGCTTGTGACAACATGAATAAGACCTGTGCAATCCCAAGATAGATAGGGGTCCAGCATGGGTGGGGGTGGGGTGGGGAGATGGATAGAAATTCCTAGCCCTACCTGAGGATCTATTGGCAATTGATAGCTGCTGGTAGAAAGCCAGGAGTATGACATGTGATAAGTTAACCAAGGGATGGCTCCACAACCCAAACCAATCCAGGAGCACAAGTTAGAGTCTAGAGTCCTTTAGGAATGAAAAATAGGGCTGGACAGGTGGTTCAGCAGTTAAGAGCACTGGCTGCTATTGCAGAGGACTCAAGTTCAGTTCCCAGAACCCCACATGGCATCTAGCAACCGTCTATAACCCCAGTTCCAGAGGATCTGACACCCTCTTCTGACCTCCACCAGCCCTGCAAGACATGGGTGCACTTATACACGTGCAGGCAAAACAAACACTCATACACATAAAAGAAAAATAATAAATAAAATATTAGGAAAAAGAAAAGAAAAATAGTAATAGAGGACATGAAGTCCGAGTGGGGGCTAGGAGGGTGTGGGCAGAGCTAAGGAAGCAGTCCAGACATGATCAAAATGCATTGTAGGAAATTGTCAAAGAAGCACTAAAACAGTTTTTAAAAAAGAGTTAAGACAAAGAGGTTTGCTCAGAAAGGAAGCTGAGTGTGTGCTCCAGGTAAGAAGGCCAGCGACTTGCCCTGGGTGCAGGGTCTGCTGCTGCTTCTTTTATGCTTCAGCATGTTGCTAGGGAACTTCCTTTTCTCTCTCTTTTTACAAATGAGACTACAGAGTGTTCCTGAGGCGCCTTGGATGGAATTTTAATTTGAGAAGGTAAAATGGGAGCCCCTAGGGTTACACAAGGGATTTCTGGTAAGAATCCTTTGTAGGCTGTCAGACACTAAGGAAAAAGGCCTTAAGCAGCTGTCAGTTGTGTTGGAGGTTTGCAGACACAACCAGACTCAGGTAAGGAGCTCCTTCCCATTCTCAGGTCCCCATAATTTTCTAATTATTTTTTAAATACTGAGGCAACATGAATTCTAAAGCCAAACTTGACAGCCATCAGCACTGTCTCTTTCATTCCTTTGTGGTAATAGGGGCAATGATCAAACGGCCCAGAAGCAAAGGGGCCTTGTGATTTCTGATGAAATGAGTTCAACAAAGAAGTACATAAATGTACATGATGTGTGATGGCTCTGCTCCTTGAGACCCCTCACTTGACGGTGTGGAAGGAGACTGTGGTCATCAGATTGGGATTTGAAGTTCTAGAGCATTTCTATGTCCTAGAGTAATTATGATTCTTATGGTATAATATAGACCATGAATTTAACATGACTTTGTTCATGATCTTTCTTTGGTATAGCATAAATATGTTTTTCCTCTTCCATGTGTTTTGGGCACTTTGAAAAATAAGAGCAGTGAAAGCAATTGTTTGGTTCTGTTTCATTAAGCCAACTGGAGCATACTCCAATTATTTCCTCTGCTGAGGGACGCTGTCTTGGAATGGATTCATTATACTAGTAAGAGCCCTCTACACAAAAGGAACAATAGGAAATATGTAGAGAGAGATAAGAAGCTGTTGGCTAGTGAGGTGGCTCCACAGGTGGGATTGCTTGCTGAGAGCCAGGAGCTCTAAGAGAAGGGCACTAGTGTTCTGGCCAAAGCAAGTCAGCAGGAACAGCCGCGTTCTTCTTCTCCCTCTTCAGACTCTCAAAAGAGGAGATAAAAGCCAACCTACTTCAAGTAGGGAAATCTAGTTATTCACTCCCCAGATTCTAATGTCAGTTAGAAACACCTTCTAGACACATCCAGAATAAGTGTGATCTCAGCGTGCTGTAGCCATTTTTAAGATGACATATGAAGTTAACCACCACATATATACTCATTATCAATTTGGACGCCATAAAACTCTCCTTCAACTCTACTTAATCTCTAAAACAAAACAAAACAAAAAACCAAGGTAGAAGGCAGCTATCCCAAGTACAACGGAAAATGCCTAGGTCCTTCCCTATGAGTTAAATAAAAATTCTCCAAAATGGTGGCATATAATCAATATGCATTAGGTTACAAGTAAGAGATCTTTAAGAAAGTTAAGAAAACATACATATGTACAAAAATAAGAGGTAATCATAGCATCGCAATCATTATTTCTGCCACATGGCCATAACTGGTGCCCATCTTCTTCTACGCTGTATTCCCAATTCTTCTAGGAAGCATCTTAAATGTCAGTTCACGTTTTGCACCAGACTTACGACATACCATTTTATTAAAGTTTCTACTTAGTGCCATAGAATTTGTATATATCAATTGTTTTCATAAAGACAATTTATTTCAAGTATATCATATACTTTGACCATTTACACCCGATGTCATTTTTACTGTTTGATGTACATGTTACTGCTACAAATCTAAAAGCTAGGAGGAAATAGTTTTGCCAGGGGTCCTTTCTCTCACTAACCTGCATCCTAAGGTTTAAGTCTTAAAAAGTAGGAAGAAAGAGCAAGCATGAGCAATAAGCACTCTTGGACCCCCTTCCATTTCCCTTCCTGGGGCTGCTGTGCAGGAAGGAGATGGTCCCTGGCCACAGGAGGGTGAACAGTGACTGTCTGAGGTCAATATTTCATTAGACAGATCTGGATACACAGACTTGGCAGTTTTTCTCAAACTGGGTGTTCCGGTTGAACAGATCAGGTCACAAATTTCAGACACAATCAGTCCTGTGCTTGGGAGTTCAACTCTTGATGTCCTGCTGAACCGTTCCCACAGTGCAGTACAGACACGTGTTCCTTTACACGTGTGTGTTCTGAAGGTTGCAGTGTTTTGACTTGACTGCCAGTTGGGGTCTTTTAGGCACTTCTTGACTTTCTGCTGCACTTAATCCACAATGCAAAGGCTCTTTGAAAATATGTCAACAACTTCTGAAGCGTTACTGAGAAACAGCACTGGGGATAAGGATCAAGCCCTAACTAAGGTTTAGATGGCTGGCGGGGGCTATACTAGATGGAAGCAGCAGCTAGCCCAGACTGACCATGCAGTTCTAGAGGGCCTTCTGCAGTTCATAACCTAGGAGCTCATAAAAAGTCTGCTAATATCAGGTCTTCTTTCTCAGAACTCTAAATTGTGAACCAGTACAGTGGTTTACACCTTTCCCGTCTCAGTGCTAAAAAACAAAACCATACTTTATATTTGGTAGAGCAGTTGAAATGACAGTTTATAGATAACTAAGGGAATCCCCAAAGGGTTGAAGGTTCCATTTCTCTGTACAATTTCAAATTATTTCACTTCCCGTTTCAGGAACTTCAGAGCATCCTGGCTACTCAGTGACACCGCCCATCGATACGTATGCAAACCGAGTCTTCTTCACTGTCCCAAATCAAGCAATATATAATCATATATATATATATATATATATATATATATATATATGTATATAAACCGGCATAGGCACCATGAATTTCAGCAGCAGCTCCAGTAAACTGCCACCTGGACTGGAGTACTTAAATCAGGTTGGTTCAAATGCATAAAATAGTCACAAAAGCCAAGACTATGTCTAGTTTGCTTACAGGTAGGTAATTGCTACTTGTTAATTTGTGGCAGAAATAGTAAACAACATATTTTTTTTTAAACAAGGTGTTACTTTGTGCCACAGTCTGGCCTAGAACTTATTATGTAACCCAGGCTGGCTTCTAACTCCTGGCAGTCTGATGCCTCAGCCTTCCAAGTGTTGAGATCACAGGCATGAGTCAAATGTGGCAGCATGTTTGACAATGAATCACTCTGATTCTTGCCAATCTGGTTCATTTTTGAAGAAAAGTGTAAATGTCTTAGGAAACTATTTTCTATTACCTTGGAACTGATTTATGATAATGGTTTAAAGCAAGTATTTATTTAGTACTACTTTTTAGTTTTGATTTACACATAATACATAATACATTCTAAGTTAATTTGTCATCTGACAATTTTCTACATGCATGTGATACTCGGGTCACGCTTAACCCCCACCTTCTCTTCTTGCATTATTTCCCACCTAGTCCCCCTCACGTTTTCATGCCTTCTGGTCTGTTTTTGCTTTTGCTTTGAGACCCATTGAATTTGGCCAGTTCTACCCTGTGAGTCTGAGTGTGGAGCTATCCATTGGATGGGTAACTCACCAGTGACTATATGGCTGAAAACAACGACTTCTCTCCCAACTGCCTATAGCTCCCATAGCAGAGTCCTGTGAGCCTCTCCTCCATATATGATTGAATGTTAAGAAGAGTCTTTGCAGGCAAAGCACAGTGCTTTGAGTACATACCTGTAAGACAGTGTTTCATGGTCCTTCTTCCCATTGCCCAGCATTTACAATGCCCTCCCCATTCCACAATATTCCCTGAGCTTTGGAGGGGTTGATATGAGTGTCTTACTTAAGGATAAGCACTCAACAGTCACTTGGTCTCGGCACCTTGATCAGCAATGAGTATTTGCATTAGTTCAGCATTTGCCACAAAGGGAAGTGTCTTTATTCCAGCCTGAGAACAGCAATATTTAGGAGACAGTGTGACAACATGTCCATTTAGTAAACTTAAAGTAGTAAGTTCAAACTGGTCCCTATGACCTTCCTAGCCATGGGCCTTTGACCAGCTCTCCAGTTCCAGGCATTAATTCCCAATTATTAGACCTCAGATCCAATCCAGAAATCACTTTTTCACCCCAAAACAGTTGTTCCTCTATTGCACCAGTAGGCATATCTTGGCTGACAAGTCTGTAGTATAGCATAAAAGATAGGAAAGACCACTGCTGACTTTTCTCCCCCAGCTGTTTCTGTATGATTTCTGAGTTTATCAACCAAGGTAAATAGTATCTTCAGCAACAGGGTCTTTTAATTTATTTTTATGTTTTGCAAACCAATGAGTTTATTGTGGTTACCTACAGGAATATTGGTGGGGGCTACTAACAGAAACAGGGACAACAGAAAGGCCACCTGGGCAAGGGTAATGACGCAGAAACGTTGCATCCCTGGAGATCACCTTCACACTGTGCAAACAACTTCAGAGATTGTAGTCTCTTCTCCACAAGCTCTGCTGCTCAGTCTCCTCCCCAGGCCGTTATTTATTGCTTTTGTGACCTGAGGAGAAGTTTTGTGAGCCCCTTAACTTTCAGCTATCTAGAACTTGGGAGGTTATTTATTCCTTGAGTCTCAGCAACCTTTCTCCTCTTTCTAGGAGGAAATGCTTCAATTTAGAAGAAAAGCAATAGGCTCTCATCATCTAGTTTTGGTGGGCAATGGCAACGGCCATAATCTGTGTAGTTTTGGGGATCTCTGGGATTTTCCTGGTCAACAGCTCCTAGGGAGGTATGAAGACTTGTGAAGCTTATAAAGTAGTCAGTTTTGATGTGACTTCTTCATCTATCCTTAGCTTTGGTTAGCCCTCTCTCACCTCTCATGTTCTACTCTGCCCCCCATCCCCACCTGTTTAAAACTTGCCACCTCCAATATTCCCTTGGTTTTCATATGACACGAATACTACTTCCAGACCCTCCTAATACTCTTCACTCTCCCCTCATCCCTATAATGGCCCTGTCCTTGCTTTCAGGTCTCTACATATATATTTACCTTAAATCTAAAAATTAGAACCAATGATCTACATATGTGAGAGGACATGTCTTTCTGGGTCTGAATCATCCCATTCAGCAAAATATCTTCCAGTTCCATTCATTTACCTACAAATTTAGTAGTTTCATTTATTTATACAGCTGAATAACATTCTGTACACATTTTCATTATCCATTTATCAGTTGATGAATATCAAGTCTGCTTTCATTTCCTGGCTTTTGTGAATAGAGCAGCAGCGAATGTGAATGTGCAGTTATCTCTGTAGTATGATATAGAGTACTTTGGGTATATGTACCAGAGTAGTATAACTGAGTCATGTGGTAGTTCTATTTCTAGACTTTTGAGAAACCTCCAGATGATTGCCTTAGTGGCTGCATTAATTTATACTTCCACCAACAGTATGGAACCAGACTTCAGCATAAGACTTGATACTCTGAAATTGCTAGAGGAAGAAGTAATAAATACACTTCCACATATAGGCATGGGTAAGGAGTTTCTGAGTAGAACACTAGCACAGGAAATAAGACCAACAATCAATAAATGGGACCTCATAAACTAAAAAGTTTCTTAAAGCAAAGGAAACTGCCTATCCAGTGAGAAGCCAGTCCACAGAATGGAAAAAAATGTTTACCAATTATACATCTGACAGAGGATTAGTGTCTAGAATATACAAAGAACTCAAAAAACTAAACATCAAGAAACAAAATGACCAATCAATAAATGGATAATGGTAATTAAGAACTGTGGGGCAGGAAGAGCTCCTAGACAGAGATAAGATGGGGATCATAGGCTCGAGTCTTCTCCCCCACCTCCTGTGGTTACCCAGGGTAGAAGTCTTTTGCTCTCCAAAGTTTGGAAAACTCTGAGGTGAGAGAGAGGCATGGGACAGGTGAGCAGGAGTCTCCCCCATCCTGCCCCCTATGGTTGGCCTGGATGGAAGTCTTTGTTTTCCAAGTTTTTATACTGTAACCCTTGCAACCATATGTTACCTTGCTTAATTATCACACGTACCTTTTACTTCATTGCCATTTACGTGCTGTTTTGTCTTTTACTTGTTCTTCTTCATATGAATATGAAAACCCCTAAAACTGGAGGGTAGGGGGACTGGCTCCTTTACATCTTTTACTTGTTCTTCTTCATATGAATATGAAAACCCCTAAAACTGGAGGGGGGGGACTGGCTCCTTTATGGAAGGATCCGTGGGTCAGTCCACTAGCATAAAATTAAATCCCTCTCCTCACCTGACTTTGGCTGCTGGTCTCTGATTTTCCCATAACAGGTTTTGTAAATGACACAGAGTTCTTGATAGAAGAAATACCAATGGTTAGTAGACACTTTTAAAATTATTAAATATCCTTAGCTATCAGAAAAGTGCAGATAAACATGCTTTGATATTCCAACTCTCCTCTATCAGAATGGCCATCATCAGTAATATTAATGATGTACTGATCTCTATCCCAACTCCCAGGCGTCCTTGAATCACACAACTTCCTGCATCCATCAACCCTCTGAGTTCCTCCAGATCTGTGAGCTTCCCAACCCCACCATTCCCTATTCATTACCCCAGTTCCCAGGCCTGCTCAGCTCTGTGTACTTTCCCTGCCTGACCTGTGAGTTCCCCAACCCAGCATTCCCTGTCCAACAACCCAACTCCTGGTCCTAACTAGGGTTGTGCACCCCAGTATACCTTCTGGACCTGTGAGTTGCTCTGGCTAATGTTCTGTTTCTTTCATCCACCCCCGCTGGGTCTAGCAAGGGTTGCAAAGCCTTTGTACTGGTCAAGCTTGGTCAGTTTTACAGAACCACACCTGCCCTTGTGGGGATCCTCATGCTCTCAGGCACAGTTGGTGTTGGGTAGTCTGTGCATCAGCCCAAACAGATCCAGTCCAAGGTTACATTTGAATGTTTTCTTGCATACCACTGACTTGGAATTACCCCCGACCATCAAACATAAACACTGACCTGTCTACCAGCCCACTCATTTAGCAGTCATCCAGCCTAACCTGGATGGCTGCCACCCCAGGACTATGTGTAGTCTGTCCTGGAACTTCAGGCTCACAAGTTGCACATATTTTTAGCTGAACTGAGACCACTTCTTGCATCCTGTTAGCACATCAACACAGAGTGGCTCCAAGCCTGAGCACCAAACACCATTCAGCTGGGCCACCACCTGACAAGTTTGGTTAGCAGCAAACAAAGATACAGCAAAGATAACAGCAAACAAAGTGGGTGTTAAGCCACTCAACAAAGATGAGATCAGCTATCCATACCAACAAACAGCATATTTCCAGACACCTAAGTCTCATAGCAAAACCACAAACAACATGAATAACCAAGACAATAAATATGTCTCCCCCAGAAATTAGCACTGTCATCAGAATATTTCTTGAGAAAGGCAACCTAGCTGATGCACAAGACAATGATTTTAAAACAGCAACTGTCAATATGTTCAAAGAACTCAAAGAGGATATGAATAAAAGACTGAATGAAGATTAAAACACTTTACTGAAATAACTAAAAAATCCAAGGCATGAAATTAAAATTCAATAAGGACCTAGAATCTCTACAAAAAAGCTAAACTGAAATAAAGCTTGAAAAACTCAGAAAGCCAGACAGAAAGCTTAGAGGAAAACCTTACCAACAGACTGGGTCAAGTGGAAGAAAGAATATCTGATCTAGAAGACAAGGTCAAAAAAATTCCTCAGTCAAAGAAAATATTAAAAATTAAAATAATCCAGAAACTATAAAAATATCAAATCTATGAATCAGGTATGGAAGAAGGAGAAAAAAACAGGTCAAAGGCACAGAAAATGTTTTTAACAAAATCTTAGAAGAAAATTTCCCAAATCTAAGGAAAGAGATGCCTATCAATGTACAAGAGGTATACAGAACACAAGTAGACAGGACCAGAAA